AAAATATGATAAGCTATGGTGTTAAAAGGAAAGGAAGAGATTACCAAGTTGGCTTATTTGATTAAGGTTAAAATATAGATATTGTTATTTTGGGTAAGTATTAAACTTGTGAAAGAGTTTCTGAGAGGAGACAGAAAATGGCAAAAAATCAACTTGTGGGACACTATTTGAAGGAATTAAAGATCAAGATCCTTAATATGTTGTTGTTTCTGATAGCTCTTAATTGATTTTTCTTGATTAGGTCCGAATGATGAGGCTCTAAAAATTTGTTTATAGATAGTAGATAAGAGATGGGAAGAAGAGATTTCTTTCGTTATTTTTTTAGAGAAAAGGATAAGTTACTGTGTTAAAAGTAAGGGAAAGGAATATGAAACTGATTTATTTGATTAAGGTTAAAATATATATGTTATTTCTGATAACTCTTCATGGACGTTTGCTGATTAGGACTGAACAATAAGGCTTTATAATTTGTATCTGGATAAGAGATGAGATATGGGAAGAAGAAATCTTTTGTTGAAATGTTAAAGAAGGTGATAAGCTACTGAAATTGTTTGTACTTGTGTTGATGAAGGGGGAAGTCGTTTCTTTATATATTATATTTTTTTTCTTTTTCTTTTTCTTTTTCTTTTTCTCTGCACTTTTAATTTTTTCTTTGTCCTTTTTATATTTTTCTTTGTGTCACTTTTTTATCTTTGTATTTTTAAACTTTAATAAAAATTATTATATTAAAAAAGGAGATATCCCAGAATTTATTTGGGGTCCTGCTGTCTCCTACAAGCAAACAGCAGTCTTTCTCCTCCAAAATCAAAGATGTCCACAAATCTAGTTATTAATTCAGCTGCAGCATTTAGTAGCTAAGGTTCAAGTTTTATTTTCCTTGGATCTTGGAACAGATACCAAAGATCTGTTTTATGCATTATATATCTGCATGCGTGTAGTGCCTGTGTTGAATAAGAACCATATTTACATGCAGATAAGATAGCTGAACAACCCCTGTCTGAAAAAAAAAATCTGTAACAATTTGTACATTTTATTCAGCCATCTGGAGATAAAATATTTTGGGAATCTCACAGATGCTCACATAGTCTGCATTTATGATATGGGAAGGGAGAGGAAAATATTTTAGGAAGGTTCCATTTAAAGAACCTTTTGTAGCATTTCTGTCCCATCTGTAATTATAGTCTCAGTGCCTGTCTCAATAATAGCCCTGAATATGCTGTGCTCTTTCTGATCCATTGAACTCATGGTCTTAACACAGGCAGAGTTGAAATCTGTTGACCCTCCAGGTAGTCATGCTAGAAAAAAACTTTAACTTGATTACTCAGCTAAACAATTTTCTGGGTTTGCACCATGCATTAAAATATGAACTTACCCAATAAGAGCATGCCTCAGGATAAGCCAACCACAACAAAAGCTCTAATGAACATTAAAACTAAGCCAGCTTAGTATGTTGTATAACTCCTGGGCTTGGCTGTAGGTGACATCTGATCTGAGTATAGGTGAGCAAATCCAGTCTGTAAGTACTTGGGACCGCTTTAATTATAAGGCAAATCCTATTTGGTGGTACCAAATAAGGAGATGTCTTGTGTTCCAGTCCCAGGTTAAGTTCAGTCTTCCCCAACCTCTTGCATTCCAAATTTGTTAGGCTTCCACTCGTAGAATTCAACACCAGCATTGGAAGAGCACCTGGTTGATGAAGACTGTTTTTCTCAAGGCCAGTCTGGCTTTGGGGAGATTGGGGCATCTGAGAACTCTCTCTGCATGGCTAAGCCATCATAGTTTGCTTGGTTTGGCTTTAGTGGCATATGTTAATCCATTCACTGTGGTTTGTAATCACAGTTTATGGTTTAATTTAGGCCATTAGGGCTTACTCAGCAAACCATCGCTGAACGCAGTGTGTGATCCCACCCCATCCACCTGGCCAGATGCTATGGACAAGCATCGGAGTTGTGTAATCAGGGCTAGAAGAGTGAACTGAAGAATTGCCAAAGCAATGTGTGTTAAACACAATTCCTCATCTTTTCCACCAACTCCTCTGGCAGCCAGGACAGTCCTACATAACCTTGGAGGTCAGCTGAGGTGTGCTGTTCATTCGGCTTTTTGAATCTAGACCCAGTGAAGATAAGTACTCCGTGAATCATGAGAATTTTTCACCTGATTGGAACCTTTTGGGGATCAGGGATTTTTTAAAAACCACATTAGAAGCTAAGGATCCATGAATAAAGTATCATTTGAAAAAGCCACTCTTGCTTGACTTGACCCCATATGCCTAACACTAAACCAGTGTTTCTCAACCTTGGCAACTTTGAGCTGGGTGGACTTCAGCTCCCAGAATTCTGGGAGCTGAAGTCCACATAGCTTAAAGTTGCCAAGGTTGAGAAACACTGCACTAAACTATAAAACCAGGTTATAAAACATGAGACTGGTTTTGCACATTGCCCCAAGCCATAAATAAGCAAACTACATTTTGGCATGGTACGGCATGTGAATCCAAAGATAAATACCCTGGGACCCACTACCTAAACTGGTTGTCCCATAGAGTAGTTACTAAGTGAATTGTTACCCTTCCAGTCTATTTTTGTTTTAACAAGCCGGCCGTTGGCCTCAACTGAGACGTGACTGTTGTTGATAAGCTAGGTCTCAGAACATGGAGAAAAATGGTAAGGCAAGGACATGGGGGGGGCGAGGGGGGGAGAGAATCTTGACCCTTGTCAAAATGGAGATGCCCATTTGCTGTTGAAATGCCCATTTATTAATAGTTTCTATTTTTAGTGTTATGTCTTAAATCGTTTCCCCAATTGTTTAGATTATTAAAAATGTGCTAAAGAGGAAGTGGATCAGCTGTGCTGGTCTCCCCCGGCCTCGACCTGTGAACCCCCCTCCCCATTATTCAAATAGATATTTGGGCTATTTTAAAACTCTTAGGCAGTAAATCAGAAAGCTCAGAATTGGCCCATTTGAATTCCCTAAGCAGTGTTTCTCAGCTGGGCAAGGGAACAAAAGACCTTGTCAACTTTCTTTTGGTTTTTTTCCTGCCCCTTTAAGAAGCTTCAAGAAATGGCCGGAGTAAATCCGCTTATAAAAGGGAGATTAAAGAGAAATGTTTTAAGTGATTTCAATTTAGGGGATAAAATCTCAGGCTGGGGTGGCAAACGCAAATTGTCACAAGTGCCGCTGGAGAACCAGATCATCAGCATGAAGGCCACAACACTCAAGTCTTTTCAGGCATGGATGCGGACGACTCTAAGACACCTCAAATGAAGTGTTAGAGGATGCCGTTAAATATATGGCATTTTTTTAAAAAAAACACCCCTTTCCCTTTGGCCACTGAGCTAGCAGTGTTTTTCATCAACCCAAACCAAAATAATGTATAGTTTTATTATTGGGTTGTTACGTACTACAGTATTTGCTCAAGATCATATCTAGGACGATAGAACTGAGGAAACCCAACCCTCTACGGGCTGCCCAAATCCTGCTTTTTTTCCTCTCTCTTCACACTGAGCAGAGAGATCTTTCTTTCCTTTAATCATTTCCCCAGAGGCCTTTCTTTGGCTGGGACAAAGCTTTTGCTTGTTTGTTCACTTTCCCATCCTTTCCCTGGCAAAGACACTCTTGCAACAGGATAGTTTGGCTTGGCCCCCTTCTTGACCACCTCCTCCTTCATCTCCTGGTCAGCCCCAGCCTCTTGGCCCATCTTCCTTGGCCAAGTCTCATCTCCCGCTGCTCCTGCCTCGAGAATCTGGTGCTGCCTCTGAGCAGTGTCCATCCCAGAGTGTGAGAATGGGTAGAGTAGAAGATCCACCAGGGTGGGTGAGATAACTTGTTAGACCACCACCAGAAGGAGACCCCTCTTCTGGAACATTTTTCATAGTCCAGCCTGTGTGTTTTACATGGTGCTTGGCACCCTGACCTTGCTGGCAACCTACTCAGCACTTAGCATGTATTTTTGTGGGCCACAGAACATGACTTAAAAGGGTCCATGGACTCCTGGTCTGAGATCCCTGCTTTGGGGGTCCTCTTTAATGTTTTAGAACAGGATGCAGCTTAGTGATTTTCTGTGCTTGTTTCCACTGGGGACCTGAGTTCAAGCCCTGGCGTTTCCAAGTAGAGCTAGAAAAATGACTTCCACAAACCCTACTCAGTAATTACAAAGGAACTATCCAGATGATAAGCATGATCATTATTATTAGTAAACAATGGGAAGTATTTTTTAATGCAAAATACTGTACCAGGAGGTCTAAATTCAGATTAGCACCCAGAGCAAGGGTGCAAAAAAATTTAAGAAAAACCAGGTATCCTCTTCAAGGACCCTGTTCTAAATAAACTCTCATGCCTATTTACTCATCCATCCATCCATCCATCCATCCATCCATCCATCCATCCATCCATCCAGATTTGGACACTGCCCATCTCACAAGGAAGTGATTTTACTTTGGTACATTCGTATCTGTTTTTTAAAAGAGGGCCATGTGTTCTGGGGTTAGTGAAAGTTCCACTTCAGCAACATCTGCCAGGTTGCAGGTTCTCCTCCAATGTGAAACTCAAAAAGTGTGATTCTCGCTTTGTGACATTTGCTTGGCCCTGCAGTTCCCTATTTTGTGGCTGTTGGTATTTTCCCCCACAGATGAAACATGGCTCCCTGCCACTGAAGCACAAAGCAACAGTGTCTCCCAGTGACCAAAACGGGCATCTCTTTGAAGCAGACTTGGACATAGCAAAGAATCTGACAGCTTTCACTGGCTTTGCTTAGCCAATTCTCACCACCTACTATTTATCCTGCTTTTCTGAAAAGGGGGGGGGGATACCATATGGCTTGAAAAGCCTCTGTATGCTTCCCCCTCAACCCTACGCAAGGTTAGCCAAGTACAACCAGTTTGATTTTCATTTCTGCCCATATATGGACTATTGGTGGCTTCTGATTGCCATGGAAAAGAGGGAGAACATAAGCAGAGAATGTTTTACAAAATAGCTCTGTTGCTAGCTGCAATCATTCGCCGACTGTTTTTTAAGCGTCCGCTGGCTATGCCAAATTCTGGAATGATAAGGTACGCCGTGTCTTTTAATGTGCAAATTAAGAAATGGTCAAAGGGCACTAGTTGACCAGTGACGGTAAAAGTAACTAGGTTGGCTTGGGTGCTGGTTGATGAAAGTCCTGGGATTTCATATTAAGAAATAAGGAGCTGCCTCAACCAAAGTCTCCCTGTGTAGACTAGGCTAAAGCGTGGTTTGCTAAACTGGCTGGGTTCAGACAAGCTAAGCCATAAACCATGATTTATAAACCACAGTAGTTAGGCTCCCACAAAATCAAGCCTATCAGCTGAGATAGGAATCAAAATTGGGATATGAGATATGAGTTAGTCATTGTCTTGGGACGCTGATCACAGATGTTTCCTTACGTTTTCTGCCTACCAGATTACCTGTGTGCTTTGCCTAAGAAGCGAGGTTGGCTGAAGTCAACAGCTGATTTTTCTGTTTTCACACATTGGGTTGGCTAGAATTAGTTTTCTTTTTTTTCCAGCAGGGTCCTTGGTGCAACACAGAGGTATCTGGTGTAATTTAAATGTCCAGTATTTCTCATGGCAAGCCTGTTATGAAAAGCAGACTTCTAACGTGAACGTCGGGCCTTTTCCCTCCTCTTCCTCCCCCCTTTGCCTTTTTTATCATTCTGTCTACTGAAATATTTTCAAGAACTCAAAAGCTTGCCCGCTGTTGTGAGATCCCCAGATGATGCTGACTTCTGATACACCTTTATTCGCTTAACCAGGTCTCAGAGAAGGAGGGTGGTTCAGAAAGGGGTGGTGCCCTGCTGTATATTTTGTTGTATTGACATTCATTAACACATGTACAGAATGTTTTAATTCCAGATTTAGGCCTTAATAAAGGAACCCCGCAGCCATTCAAAATTATATAATGAAATTACTCATATAGTAAACTACCAAGAGCATTGATTGATTGATTGATTGATTGATTGATTGATTGATTGATTATGCGCCACCAAGTCATTTTCGACTCCTAGCAACAACACAGATTGCCAGGAGCATAATAGCATTAAAACATAGGAAGCAGAGATAGCTGGAGAAGGAAAAGTTAAGTCCAGAAGAAGATCTAACAAAACTGAAAGACTAGCTAAATCTTTTATAAAACATAATCCCATGCGTTGGATACTGATATCAAAAGGTCACACTCTTAGGTCTCTACCAGTAGCTTGTTCAAAGGGACCAATCTCTCAAACATCTATAAAATGTCATATTTTGTAGATAACAATCAGCGGCAGGGCAACTTTGACTAAGTCGCTTTGTACCTGATAAGAATTTTTTCTTCCAGTTCAGCACTTTCTTTCTGCCCACCTACCTTATGAGATTATAATTTTTATCTGATTGTGAAAATATGTTAAAATGAATATTTGATAATATTTGGTAGATGAATAGCTTTCTTTTCCCAGTTTGATAACAAAAAATGAAACAAAGGTAACAGCACTTACATTAAATTATGAGATTCATTACAAATGATTTGTAGTTAATCTTTTTCTCTTTGTTTACTTTCCTGTTTATCTTCCTGTTGTTTCTTTTAGGTCCTGATCATTTTAGTTCCAAGAGTCTTGCTTTACAAGCCCAGAAAAAGATTTTGAGCAAGATGGCTAGCAAGACAATGGCCAACATGCTGATTGACGACACCAGTAGCGAGATCTTTGATGAGTTATACAAAGTGACCATCGAGCACATGAAAAACAAGAAAGAAGCACACAAAATTATGAAAGACTTGATCAAAGTCGCCATCAAGATCGGGATTCTCTACCGAAACAACCAGTTCAATGCGGACGAGCTGGAGATTGTTGAGAAGTTCCGCAAGAAGCTGAATCAAGCAGCCATGACTGTGGTCAGTTTTTACGAGGTGGAGTACACGTTTGATAAGAATGTTCTTTCAGGACTCTTGAATGAGTGCAAAGACCTCGTGCATGAACTCGTAGAGCGACACCTAACAGCCAGGTCTCATGCCCGGATCAATCACGTCTTTGATCACTTTGCAGCTGTTGACTTCCTAACTGCTCTCTATAGCCTTGATGGGGAATGTCGTCCACACCTCAAAAAGATCTGCGATGGAATCAACAAACTACTTGATGAGAAAGTCCTCTGAAACTTGACTTTAGAAAATTTTTTAAAAACAGATCGATCAAGAGATGCAAACCGAGTTGGGAAAGGAATACAAGAGCCTGCTTCTTTTATATAACCCCTGGAGAAAATATCTTGGTAACAAAATACCTTTATTCTGGAACATTTGCCATCAGTTTGCAATGAAAAGCCATCAGAAGTGAGATGTACTTCAGCCAGCAAATAAAACTGAACATTTTAGTACAGAGAAGAGTTTACAGTGCTAAAGAAATTACACATATTATTGTAGTTGGAATTTAGCAGTGCAAAAATAAACCTGAAGATCCATTTCAAAGAGCAAATAAAACTGCCTACATTTTCATTGTAGAAGAAAACTATGAGGTGAAAGAGTGAGCTCTCAACTTTGTTTTAAACGAAAAATCTTCTGGTTTATACATAATCCAAACTGAAGACAAAAATGAGAAACTCTAGAGCAGTGTTTCTCAACCTTGGCAACTTGAAGACGTGTGGACTTCAACGCCCAGAATTCCCCAGGGAATTCTGGGCGTTGAAGTCCACA